GTCGCAATTACCTTTTTTTTTTTTTTTAATTCAGTGGCGGAAACGGGCTTCCATATATCAGACTCCGATCATGAATGACAAAATAACCGTATATAATTCATACACTACATGGTTGAGTACATAATGCACAAGAACATAGTGTATAGTGCCCCTTACCAAAAAGTAGTATACTTCAAGTTTATTTTATTAAGTATACTTAAGTAAAGTTCAAGTATATTTTTAAGTATACTTTATTCAGTGGCGGAAACGGGCTTCCATATATCAGACTCCGATCATGAATGACAAAATAACCGTATATAATTCATACACTACATGGTTGAGTACATAGTGTATAGTGCGTCATTTGGGATGCAGCTCGAGACCTATGCAAAGTTGGCACAATTAGCATTGAGGTGCTGCATTATACAGTAATAGAGAGAGACTGTTTGAGTGGTAGCTATCCTTTGGTGTCCAGCTAGAAATGCAATGTAGACAAATCTGAAAAGTCAAGTAAACCCCTCCCAAAGGGGAGCACAGAGACTGAGGACAGAAAGAGTCTGGAGGATCAGAAACCAAAACGTGAGTAAAGAAAAGTCTGTGTTTAAAAGTTGTCTGTCTGAATGCAGTTATTGACAGGACTAAACAAAACTATTTGTTTTGAAATGCGCAAGTTTCAGTGTGAAATGAAAACCGGAATTACATTGGGAGATCTCAGAATAACAATAAAACATTCCCAACATTCTTATGAAATCCTGAAGCTTCATTTGAGATGAGGGCCGTGACTAGGCTGTTGGGTTATAGTCCTGAATGTTCTTTCAAGCCACCTTATTTTGCAACACGGAAGTAAGCAATTTGTGTGTATGTCACCACAAAGATAGTAATACCACTATTTTTGAACTAGTGGGGACATTTTTTTTGGTCCCCATGAGGAAACAAGCTTATAAATCATACTAAATACATTTTTGGGAAAATCTAAAAATGCAGAAAGTTTTGTGTGAGAGGTTTAGGGGTTGGGCCAGCTAGGGTAAGGCAGAAAATACAGTTTGTAGAGTATAAAAACCATTATATGGAATGTCCCCAAAACATGGAAACCAGTGTGTGTGTGTGCATAATAACAGCATAATCAAGCATAATAACGCATAATAATTACTATTATAGGCCAATACCAGATAGACAATAAAAATAAATAAATAAATAAAACACTCTTGTTTGAGATTTATAGGCCTATACATAGCCAACAAACATTCATCCAGTAGCCGTTGTTGAAATTTGTGATCTATTCCTAATATGGCCAATCCCACAAATATTCATTTTCATGTAAAAACTACAGCTGCAGAATCAGCAATCTAACAGTCAGAAAGAATTACTGTAAATGCTGACATTTAAACCTTATCATATAACTCACTAGTAAGGGGTATCTGTTTGAAGAGACCAAATGAATAAATTAGTCAATAAATAAAATAAAATAAATAGATAACAAAATATTTGATAATTAATTAATAATTATATATTAAATAATAATATTAATAATAATAATATAACCAATAAATAAGACACACACACACACCACACTCTTCACATTTCAGCTGTTTTAGAATTGACGACTAGATGGCGCCAGACAGTTGTTTGAAGCTTCGATTGCTGTCAGAGATATGGAAATACTGTAGATAACATCATCAGTTAAAGTTTAAAGTGGATATCACCTAAAAGTCTAAAACAGTGATGAGATGTTAGCCCACAATTTGGTGGGGTTTTACATGCCTCAAAGTTGTCTGGTAATTTTCACCAACATTACATGTCAAATCCTTTAATAATTATTATCATAAGTAGTAAAATCAGTGGTAAGTTTTATTTTTATCGTACTTTTTATAAAACTAAAAAAAAAAAACACTTCTCAATAAACACCACTAGATAGATTATAACAAATTACTCAATGTGCAAAACCACTCACACAAAAACCAGCTTCTATGCCACGACCTTCCACAAATTATCCTAACATTCACATCAACCCTCTGCTACCGACACACCTCACAGACACAGATGTGATTCAACACTTTCTAAAAGCATCATTTGTTTTACACACACTTGAGAATCCACCCAGTCTGTTTCTTAACACAAAACATGTACCATCAAAAGTGCTCAACCAAGGCAGAGCGTGCTGATAACATATTGGTAATGTGAAAAAACACTGGGGGGCCATAATGGTCTCACAGCTCCATTTCAAACATGGTTAACCTTAAAGGTTATTTATCACCCAGTGGGTCATGAGGGCCGAACAGTATTTACAACAGGACATGGAGACTTTCATCTGGGAATCAGTGAGGTGTATTTGAGGGGTTAACAATGAAGAGGACATTGGGTATGTTTGATATAGCATACCACTGTTACTATTTCTGCAGTACTGTGCACATTATGCAACTTTTGTGTATGCTTAGAGTACCTAGATGATCTACTACATTTGTAAATTAGGCAGTATATTTGCTTGGTTATTATAATGGTGTCATATTGTCCTAGGAAGTTCTTATTTACAAGTTGGGAAGTCTCTATGACGTCAGGAGCTTTCAGATCACTTTGGTTGGAGCAAGTTGGCCATGTACCTTTTCTACATCAAGTTTAACAAGATTTTTCTTGTTCAACAAATTGTTGAATAAAGAATGTGCATCTGATGTTTTTGCTTTTTCAGTTTATTAAGTGCTGTAAATTGAACCGTTATATATTCTATCGTAATCGTTCAGTACTATGGTATTTTGTACATGCAACTTAGGTTTTTTGTAAATGAAAAAAATAAAAATTCAGAAACTAAGGGCTTAAAGAAAAATTCCCACTTTGTGGTAACATTCATGTACGTTCAACTCAGCTTCTGTTGGTCAGTCCGTGCAAACAACTGGAACCCGTTGTGAAATCAGCTTGGGAAAATTGTTCGCCTTTTTGCAAAACTCTCAAATCAGGTGAATTCTTGTTGAAATGACTGGATTCGCCAGCAAAACAACAACAAATGTGATCGCACTTTATGTCATTTGACGTCTTTACGGTATCCCATATTCAAAGTTGAAACTCAAAGCTAGTTTTCTTTTTTTTACTACATTCATTCTTTCCTTTATGGTTAGGCGTTTAGATATGTTAACTTAAAGCCCCGTGAACGTTTCATCATGTGCTTAGCAAACATCTTGACATGGAGTTGAAGTAGAACGGGACCTCTGAAGGACCCAGTGTGTTCTTTCTTCTCCTGTGATCCCTCCTCTTTGATCCACGCTGGCCCACGTCAGCTGAAGGAAACCTGAAAAGAGCATCTCCGGTCAGCCGGGAACCCTCCCCTCACCGCCCCCCTTTCAATGTATTGCCTTTTCATCCCAGGCGTCCGTGTCCTGGAACAAAAGCAGTCCATTTAGATCTTAGTAAATGATACAGAAAATGGGAAAACCACGTATCAGGCCTGATTTCATCATGCCCATAAATCTCAGACAAATCAAAACCCAGCCCCTCTTTGTCTTGCTAATACACATTAGGGTGCGGCTGGCTGGTCGATTTGACTGACAGTCGAGTGGCTACAGATGCAGATCTCAGACGCCTTTGAACTCTGACCCGCCACTGGAGTGAGTGGAGGAAACTCTGAACACCCAGTAATCTCTCTGCTCCACTTCCAGCCTCCAGGGAACTGAGACATGGATATCTGAATGCTGATGGAGAGGAAGATAAGGGACAAAAAACGTCTTGGAGTTTGTCTCCTCAAGTTGGAGATAAAGGGAGAGGGATAATAACCCTGCTGCCAGCAAGGATCGGAATGCATTTCATGAAGAGCGTGGAGAAGAGGCTTTTTCAGAGGCGCTAAATAACCCATCTTGCAGACCCTCACTTTCTTTTCTTCTGGATGACCTCTTCGCCTTCCGATTCAGTTCGCGATTTAGGCAGCGCTGAAAGGGGACAAAGCGTTCCTCCTCAGCCAGCTAAATTGAGTGATCTGGGGAATGTTTCTTGCAGCCGTGTTCTTTAGCTTTATGACTTTCAAAAGCTCTGAGGAGCTTTCTGTTCTACAGACAACACTACAGGCTCGTCCTTGCAAGTAATGGAAACAAATGGCCTAATTAACAAGTGTTTTCCAGCCCCAAAGAAATGTTTAGTTCTAATTCGGATTAAACCTAAAACAACGACTTTGCCAGCTCAACATAAGAGGGAGGACTTTTTGCAAGCTTGATAAACTACATAAATTATTTGAGCTATTTTTATACATAATGAGTCTGCCATCAACACATTTATGTGACTAAGTTGGTGTGAAAAGGAAACGGCGAATAAACACGGTTGTTTTTCTCGACACCTGCATTCACACCTCACACATTCTCATTTTGTCTCAGGTGGACTTTCTCAACTTCTGCTGACATCTATGCATCATCAAAACAAAACACTGGATGTCTCTGAATATGCATACTTCCCTACTACATAATAAGCAAAAAACTGATGTGAAGTGAGTAGTTTGTCCGAATTCACAGTAGAAACACTAGGTGAAAAGTACCCAGATTACCCTTCTACTTCCAGCCAGATTCTGATATTTTATTATCCCATGAGTCCATGCAGAAGAGTTGTGAATGGCAGTGAAGCACTGATGCTGTAGGTCACATGATAATGGTAAGAATACAAACACAGATTTTATACCACACACATTCATACTATATAGACCACACTTATTAAAGGCCTCAAAGTAATTACTTATTCTATGTCTACCTACTCAGACATTATGCCATTTTGGACGCAGTCACAGTATAACACATTTAATTATCTTAGATTAGGTTGTTTGGTACAATCATACAAACTAACTCTCTGTTTTGTTCTTGCACGACTGCAGCAGAATGAAGAGAAATGTTGAGCACAGCTCTTACATCCCCAACCAGCTGTCAGTGGAGTTGTCTGTAATCCTCTGGTTGTGGATGGTGCGAGCGTCTATTCTGTGCCTTAAGATTATAATTAGTATGGATCTCTATGTCTCTCTTATTTTCTCTTCACATGCTTTAACTGAGAGTGGCAGCCTGCATGGTCTTTAACTCTAGGGTTAGAAGACATGCATTAATTAGGTTTACCACATCTTAGTTGCATTAAACATGTACTCATTTAGAATGCCACAAAAATGTATTTTCAACAGGCATGTGCAACACTTTTGTTTGGATTTTATTTGCGAGGTGAAATTCCAGTCCATATAAACTGTGAATGATCCGCATTGACATAAATATTAACTGTCATTGTCATTTGAGGTGGAATTTAAAGCTTATTTGAATAATAACATTTTAAAATCTCGCTCTCCTATTCCATTTTCAAACCTAATTTTCTGCACTTTTAATCTAGAGGAGTGGATTTACAGTAACTTTGGAGCCTAACTCTTTCCAGCTGTTTCATTCACGTGACTTTTTCCCACTCATCTGCCATATTTATGACCTTCAGCGGGTATGTGACCGTTTCAAGTGCAAGGGGATGCAAAGGAGAACTGAATTCTGTGTTCGCGCACTTTCTGAAACGCTGCCAGTGTTGCCAAATCTGATAAGATAAATAAGCAACCGCAGCTTCAAAAACTTGGTACAATCATACAAACTAACTCTCTGTTTTGTTCTTGCACGACTGCAGCAGAATGAAGAGAAATGTTGAGCACAGCTCTTACATCCCCAACCAGCTGTCAGTGGAGTTGTCTGTAATCCTCTGGTTGTGGATGGTGCGAGCGTCTATTCTGTGCCTTAAGATTATAATTAGTATGGATCTCTATGTCTCTCTTATTTTCTCTTCACATGCTTTAACTGAGAGTGCAGCCTGCATGGTCTTTAACTCTAGGGTTAGAAGACATGCATTAATTAGGTTTACCACATCTTAGTTGCATTAAACATGTACTCATTTAGAATGCCACAAAAATGTATTTTCAACAGGCATGTGCAACACTTTTGTTTGGATTTTATTTGCGAGGTGAAATTCCAGTCCATATAAACTGTGAATGATCCGCATTGACATAAATATTAACTGTCATTGTCATTTGAGGTGGAATTTAAAGCTTATTTGAATAATAACATTTTAAAATCTCGCTCTCCTATTCCATTTTCAAACCTAATTTTCTGCACTTTTAATCTAGAGGAGTGGATTTACAGTAACTTTGGAGCCTAACTCTTTCCAGCTGTTTCATTCACGTGACTTTTTCCCGCTCATCTGCCATATTTATGACCTTCAGCGGGTATGTGACCGTTTCAAGCGCAAGGGGATGCAAAGGAGAACTGAATTCTGTGTTCGCGCACTTTCTGAAACGCGGCCAGTGTTGCCAAATCTTACAAGATAAATAAGCAACCGCAGCTTCAAAAACAAGCCCAATATTGTTATATTATTTATAATCATCAATATTATTTATTATCAATTCTTTATTATCAATAAATGAGCCTGCAACATAGTAAACTGAAACCACTCGGAGTTTGAAGAGCAAAAACAGAAGTTATTTTGCAAAAATCATCAAACTCAACTGTAACAAACGGAGAATAAGACAAGAGCACTAAGGGGGAGCTTTATAGCCACATATTTATAATCAAATAAACTCGAACCATATGTATCTACTATTAGTATTACTGCTTGTTTATTTTAATGATTAATGCATTATAAAAATATTTCACAAATTGAATTAGGTAAGATAAATAAGCAACCGCAGCTTCAAAAACAAGCCCAATATTGTTATATTATTTATAATCATCAATATTATTTATTATCAATTCTTTATTATCAATAAATGAGCCTGCAACATAGTAAACTGAAACCACTCAGAGTTTGAAGAGCAAAAACAGAAGTTATTTAGCAAAAATCATCAAACTCAACTGTAACAAACGGAGAATAAGACAAGAGCACTAAGGGGGAGCTTTATAGCCACATATTTATAATAAAATAAACTCAAACCATATGTATCTACTATTAGTATTACTGCTTGTTTATTTTAATGATTAATGCATTATAAAAATATTTCACAAATTGAATTAGGTCCCTTTCCTCGCTCACCTTCTCCCATGTTTACTTTCCATCTATGTACATCTCTGATGGTGGCGTTGTTTGCGTATTTAGGCTACGGGCGTGATTTAACAATAAAACAAAACGCGACTTAACAAAAAAAAAAAAAAGAATCTCAAAGTCGCGGACACAGACTTGGCAACTCTAAACGCTTTGAGTGTGCACACAGAGAACAGCGCGTGAAAAACTAATTGAGTTTTCTTTTGCCTCTTCTTGCGCTGGAATGGTTTAAAATCGCTTTAATGTTTCAAATGTTAAGACTTAGAATGGATTAACTACAATCCGTTGAAACCCTATATAATCTATACCAGGTCCCAGAAAACATTTTACAGATCACTGGATATGAATGAAGCGGTGAGTCTGATTACACACAAACAGGTTGGACAGAAAAGATGGTGGACCACAAATGAATCTAGCAATTCAAAAACGTTCATAATGCATTTGTTTATTATTCATATACAAGTAGAGATAAAAGAGTATTCCACCAATGCCCAAGTGCGTAAAAAGCTGTATGCTTTCTATAGGGGTGTGCAGCGAAGCCAGTATTTATATCTGTATTTGTATCTGTAACAATCACAAAATTATTCGTATCTGTATTCGGATAAAACCGGAAGTGGGCGGAGCTTGAACCAGAATTCCTACAGTTATATTTGATAAGACCGTTATGTTTATGGTTTTACAGCCTATCTTTTTTCGTAGTTATCACTGAACAAATATGCCGTGTTTAACTAAAATAATTATTTTTTTATTTTTATAACATTTATTTAAATATCGTCTAACAGTCGGAGCCGATATCCTTGTATAGACAGTGCTTCGAGATGCAGTGTGGTTGTGCTTCTGGCAACGCGAGTTCGAGTCCCAGCTTGGGGAACCTTCGTGATCCGATAAATAAATATTTAAATATCTAAATTAAAACAGTAAGGGTTCCTACACAGTTTAGAAATATGGAAATTTATTTAAGTCATTTATAGGAAATGCGTCTTTTTAAACGAGTCTTTTTTGAACTTCACTAAACAAATGTGCGTGTGCCACGCAAACCAGCAAAAGATAAGGAAGCAAATATGTAGGACTAGTAGAAAATGTATCTGTATTTAAGTTGATTATTAGCCTACTCTTGACAGAGAGCTGGTTTGGTTTTTGAGAGACGGAGACGCGCAGAGACGGCAACGCGGCTGTTTGATTGATGGTTGCGCTGTGCTTATTCCATTCATTCGTGTATCATATCGCAGCCTTTATTAAGGTTTAAATAATTGCCTTTTAAATATAGCTACACAAATAGTAGAACGTGTATGATGTATTATTTTAGGAAATATTACTCTTGCCAAGCTCTGATTTCTGAGAGATGCACGGAGTGGCAACAGCAATGCGGTGTTTGATTTGCGCTCTTTTCATTCATAAAGTTTACATTCATTCACTTCACACACTCATTATTGCATGAATTTAGAGGTTTGTGTAAAATATCGCGCTGATCCCTTGGCTCAACTGTGAATCTAGCAAACACAAGAGTGTGCTGCAGCCTCAGCCGAATATTCGGACAGAATTATTCGTTATCCGTTATTCGTTTTTGAAGCCATTATACCGTGTCTTTCCAAATGAGGGAATTCGGCTTCGGGCACACCCCTAATGCCTCCCCCGCTTCTCCACACGCAGATGTAAACAAGCCTCTTCTGCTTCCGCTGTAGTTCAACTAGCGGTTTGAAATGTGTAACTGCAGAACAACATGGACACTCCAACGCTGAAGTATCACGTGAAAAATCCGCGGCGTTGGTGCTACACATAAGCATAAATTCAGCCTTCACACTTTCTCCAGTGGAAGAGCCTCACGTAATAAGAAAATCTCTGGCTGTAGCCGAATTTCTCACTGATGATGCTAAGGTAAGTGTTTTTAAATGCGTTACTGAGAAATTGGTAGTCTGTTCTGGGTGGTTGCTAGGGCGTTGCTAGCGTGCTAAAGTTGTTGCATACTTTATGTCCCTCATTTCATCCCTCACCCATTTTACCTGACAGGTAGTGATGGGCAAAACAAAGCTTTTTGAAACAATTGAACCAATTGTTTTGTCAAAATATCTTGCTGTTTCAAAGCACTCGAATCTTGCCTGCAGGTCAAAACTGTGTAAATGCAATGAAAACTCAAACATACATAAAAATACCTTTTACAAACCAACTGCAGATATTTTATTGAAAGTGTAATCTATTAAATGCAATTAACAGATAATCTAATAGCATCAAATATTAAGTGTCTGTATTACTTTATTAAATTCTAGAACTTCTTTTGTTTTATTATTGGCCTGATTAACCAAACTCTTCATAACTACATCTCTTCCTTTTTTTTTATGCAAATGTGTCATTAAAATGTCTGCAAATTTATACAAACTGATTCGAGATCAGGTAAAAACCATATAGCCACTGGTTCACAGAGATCAGCTACTAGCAGCGAACCATTGAAATTTCAAAGCATTTTGAAACAGTTATGACGTATCAAAACCTCATTTGCTGAAATCACATGACTCTGGCAGTTTGATGTGAGCTCCAAATCACTGGTTTGAAACAAATTATTTGTTAATGTTTCAAAGCTTAACAAAGAAGTGTTTCGAAAATTGCACATAACTAGTTCTGGGTGTAAAAGGTGTAACAGCACACTTTTCTCAACAAGCCGCATGATTTGTGGTATCATTCATGTCAGTAGCACAGCTAGTTCCAGGTACACACTAAAGTGTATTACTTGGGGTTAGGGGTTTGTTTAAATCTCTAACCTTCAGTATGAGCAATTGGTGGGATTGGGGCTGTCTTTAAAGGACTGCAATGCCCCAATTTAATTTCTTTGCAGTGTATGGCTATATCATGGGTCGTTGTGACCTCTCTGAGTTAGTTTAACCCTGCTGACCTCCTTACCTACAGCCCTGTATGTTAGCATTAAAGTGCACCAGGTTTGTGTTCAAGAGGGGTTGCTTAAATGGGTTTGTTTGCTTGGCCCCTCTGGACCCTCTTCCTCCATGAGTAATGATGAGGGACCCAGTGGACCTCGTCCAGGAATTAGATAAATGAGAGCACGCATTGCTCCTTGAGTAAACATTTGAGCCCAAATGACTGATGGAGACTTTGGAAAGAATGGCACAGACAGATTAATCTCCTGACCGAAGACTGACACAGTTGGAGACACTGAAGATTCACTGCCAGCCCGAATCAATTGTAAGTTCACCTTCGCCAGCATTAGGGTCCACTGGCGGTTAGTGTCACCTCAGTTTAATGACAGACTAGGGAAGTGCCATGATGGTTAACTACTCATCCATCAACCGACTAGTCAGTTTTACTAATTTGCTATTTTTATTTTATTATTTGTTATTTTTTTTATGATAATTTATGTTTATTATCTATTTATTAACCTTCTAAAGCCTGGCATATGAAAGAGTCTTCAGAAAAATCTATAAACATCAAAATATGCTAAATATATATATTTTAAAAAAAAAGCATTATACTTGGTACATCAGACTTTTATGGCTCCTATAGTATGACATAAAAGAATATGGAGCTCATACTTGAGGAGGGGGAAAAAAACACCTCAGTTTTAATCAGAGGACCAAACTGAGCAAAAATATGAAATTTGTTGCAGTGTATGATATTTATATGGCCAAAAAGTAAGAAGAAGCTGGTACCTTGTAATGTAAATCAATGAGATCTTTATAACAGACTACTTACATAAAATGCATATAAATAAGTTGTCACTATATTTTATGTCTTAATAAGATGATATTTAAATGCTTAGTTTTATGATAAAAAATCTGTAGTTTTAATTGTGCATTTAGTTCAATGCAATGATGATTGAGAGATGGACAAATAAACATTCCATAAAAGCCAGATGTATCACATTTTTAACATGATTTTTCAGGGGGAAAAAAATATTTTTACTTGCAAAAAAAAAAAAAATACAAACTATCAATCAGAAGTCAGAACACAAGTTTTGACCAAAATTTGTGTATCAAATATAGGCTTAATCATTCATTTAAAGGGGTCCTATTATGCTTTTTCACTTTTTAAACTTTAGTTAGTCTGTAATGTTGCTGTTTGAGCATAAAAAATATCTGCAAAGTTACAAAGCTCAAAGTCCACTTCAAAAGGAGATATTTTATTTAATAGAAATCACTTTTCAAAAACTACAACGAATGACTCGTTTGGACTACAACGCATATTTTCCAGGATTTGTGATATCACAAATATCGACGAATGGGACGAGACCTGGTTGAGCTGCACTAGAGAAGGCAATGAGTGTTATCACTGTGTCTGAGACTCGCTAGCTTTCCCAAGGCAGACGAACTTAGAGTGATTACCACACTGGCCCAGCTAACCAATCACAGCACATTTCGTATTTCAGAAGGCGGGCCTTCATTTGATTCGAGCCGTTCATGCAAGACTGGGGGGAGAGGTGTTGTAATAATGTAAAATAAGTGAAAAATAATGTGTTTTTCGAACAACCTAGTATGAGAGCATGTTCTAATCTAGTACACCCCCAAAACAAAATCAAGACTTTGTAAAAGAGCATAATAGGACCCCTTTAATAATTCAATTCAGACAGATGTGTTTTGTGCCATTACATCATTTGCATTTGACCAACATCTTATCTGAGTTCTCTCTGTCTCCTGACCATATATCGCCTTGTATGAGTTAGTTTTTTAGTTAGTGGACAACCAGCATCTGCTCAGATCTGCACATGCCCCCCACAGATACTCAAATCTTGCCAGCTTGAAGATTAATTGTGTCGTTGTCAGTTTCTAATTGTTCAAAGAGCGGAGGATTGTGGTTGTGACTTTGGAGTTAAGCTTTTTCTGAATGATCAGAGAGGGACACATTTAGTGAGAATATGCCATTGTAGTAGCATTTTAGTTTTGAATTTAAAGACATAGTTCAACAAAACTGAAGATTGTCATTATTTTATGTAATTTTTGGGTGAACTATTCCTTTAAAATCCAGTGTTATCCTGCAGCTACACACTAATTGTCCCTATGGAACATAAAAAGAGACACAGACAAATGTAAACAACCCAAATGCTTCAGGAACGTATAGTCCTCTCATGTATTACACAGGTCCATTTGGAATCTGTCAGCCTTTCTAAAGCTTTAAAAGCCTGCAAATGCAAACTAATAAGTCACTAGAGAAACTGAGTGACAGGGCTGAGGGAGTATAGAGGGCCGTGTATAGATGATAACATTGTTACGTTCAGCCAATACGCTATCATTGTTTACATTCACCTCACTTCGAGGTTTGCAAAGAACCGTAAGTCTGCTTCCCCAGAGGACAAACCCCTGAGCTTAACTGAAGACGAACACTTTATGATGCAAGTCTCAAGCTGTTAATGATGACACCATGTTGAGTATTACACCAATAGACTAACAGTGTTGTTATGGCTACTATCGTAAGCAGACCAGTTTAAAGTTTTTGAATAAAGGTTCTGCTAAATGAAGAAAGTTTACTATTAAAACTACATTTATATTTTATAGCTCTACAAAAATGCCACATTTCAGATTTTTTCATTGGGCCACACTATGTTTTGTGAAGTGAAGAATAGAAAATGACTGAAGTGAGTAAAATTAATAGTGTATCTTAGGTCAGTATAGTGGCCATGAATTAGACCTCTGCTCCAGCTTGTAGTTCCCCTGAAGTCTCGACAAGAGAATGAAACAAGGGCTTCAATCACTTAATGACACTTAATATTCTCTTAACAACTGAGTTCAAAGATTCAGCACAACGCTTGTTAAAGTAGTTGCTAACTAATTCTAAGCCTTTAGGATTTTGTTCAAGCGAGACCTCAACACCTTCTTGACAGCAGAACGTCTCTCCCAGGCCTTCACAAGATATGCACCATTGAGTTTTGCCAAGTCAGTTTCTGTGAGAGTTGTGGTTAACAGAGAAAACTCATCAGTACTTAATCATCGTCAATTTTTGGCAAAACACACCTCACCTGAATTTATAAAAAAAAGTTAAAAAGCATGCAATTCAGCACTGTCAGTGTTGCCGGTGGCTAAAAACAGTCTGTTAGAAAACTCACTTGAGAAAAATACAAAGGTGTGCCTAGGATGGGAGGCTGTTTGACGGTTGGTTTTTGTAAAGTTGCACAACAACAAAAACAGTGTTTACTTTCACAGAAGTTTCATCCAAGCATTCACTGGATCCTTAATGTCATAAAACAAGCAATTACATCTGGTTGACTGAGAGAAGCCGTTGAAGACTGATGTGAGAGAGCACATTTGTAATGCTCCGCTTTTTATGCCAACATCTTTATCGTCTCAATCAGAGGTAGAAAGAGCTTTTGATTTGAAACTTCCAGTGTCTCTTAACAGCTCTCAATTCTTCTTCTTATGTTGTTGATTCAGACTCTCTTGTGCTTATTGTGAGATGTTCAAAAGCCCTCAACATCAGTGTCACCATCGGTGCAAGTATGTGCTAATGACTCATCTGACCCTTGACCTCATCTTGCTGTGGCTTCCGAGTGGCCGCTGTGTTTGCAGACATGAGAAGTGTATGTTGAAGTATGACTTCATCTTGTATGCATTAATCCAATGTCCATAAAAAGTCTGCAAGATAACAAGTGTATATAAAGTGGGACAGCAACAGTTGCCAAGGTAAGACTGGTCAGTCTTAAGGCAGGGCTTAGCAAAAGGTAATTTTGTCAGTTCTTGGCCAGAATAAGCTGCAATGTGAATGAAACTTTATGCAGTCTGGCTCTGAGCGAGAAAATGACTGACTGAATTCAAGCTCACTCGCTTAGCCCACAATTTATGTCGTTGTATGCAAAATGCCCCCCTAGATAGCTAAGCTAGCTAATGTAAGCTAATGCTGCGTCACATGTGTAGTTTATGCTTCTGTTTTTGTGTATGTGTATG